AAGAAGAAGAAGAAGAAGACGCGTCACGCACCGGCTGTCGAGGACGCGCTCAGGACACGCTTAGGACAGTTCGGACATTGCAGTGAATCAGAGGTAAAAAAAACGATATAAATACTGTTCAGTTTCTTGCACTGACTGATCGTTTTGTGTCTTTACACATCAATGTATCGTCACGAGCTGCAGGGTTTAATTTGGATTTGTCTGTGCATGTTTTTTTTACTCTCATAGATTTTGTTACCATTGCCATGCATTATAAGACTGACAGACTGCAACGGTTTGAGTTAAAAATCTTCGTTTGTGTTCTACTGAAGAAACAAAGTCACCTACATCTTGGATGCCCTGGGGGTAAGCAGGTAAACATCACATTTTCCTTTTTGGGTGAACTATCCCTTTAAGTACTGCTTTCTGAAAAAAAAAAAAATCAAAATTAAGTGAGTTTTTGCTTAAAACAAGATAAAATATCTGTCATTCCCATACAGCTATATATATATATATACTGCAAAAACAATTATTTTCTTAGTATTTGTGTCTTGTGTTCTATTATAAATATCTAAACATTGTTGAATCATGATGCATTTACTGTACAAGTAAAATGATTTAAGATATTAAGATTTTCTTTAAAAAAAAAAAAATCTAAATGTTGTTAGTTTTTGCTTAAAACAAGCAAAAGCCAATGGGGCAAGAAAAATAATCTTAATTCAAAAGCTAAACAAGATTAATTTTCTTGCCCCACTGGCAGATATTTTTGCGTGTTTTAAGGAAAAACTAACACAATTTTTATATATATTTTTTTTTTACAGAAAACAAGACATAATATCTTAAGTCATTTCACTCGTACAGTAAATTCATCTTGATTCAAGAATGTTTATATATTTATACTAGAACACAAGACACAAACACTAAGTAAGAGAATCATTTTTTGCTTTGTTTTTTAGGGTAATGCATTGTAGTAATCAGATTGACCTTCATAGAAATGTTGAGGAGAGTAAACCCTGCGCTGCTGTGAGTCTCTGAGCTGAGGTTCGTTCAGCAGATGCAGCGCTGCTTCTAGCGCTCCGTTCAGCTCGTTCCTGCGGTCCTGACCCATCACACTTTCCACCGGGAGTCTCGCCAGTCCGCTTTCCAGCTGATAGACCCGGCGGAGGGTGAAGGTCTCAAACGGCAGCACCGCAAACTCATCGGGCAGCCGTTCTCCGGTGAAGATCTCGGCCCGTCGGAGCTGCTTCCGCAGGAACTCCTCCAGCTCTGACTGGTTCTGCTCCTCGAGCTCCACAGCGGATCTCTGCAGCTCTGCCTTCAGCTGTGAGATCAGTCTGGTGAGGTTCCTGCTGTGCTGGAGATAGTGCCACTCATGCTGCTGCAGTAAAGCCTCGAATGCATCTTCCCCTGCTGGACGTGTGGTTTGGCTTTGAGACCTGCAGGCCTGGCGATACAGGAGCAGAACGAAGCAGAAGAGCAGCGCAGCAATCGCACGCTTCCCCAGAAACCATTAAGTCATTTCACTCGTACAGTAAATTCATCTTGATTCAAGAATGTTTATATATTTATAAGTAAGAGAATCATTTTTTGCTTTGTTTTTTAGGGTAATGCATTGTAGTAATCAGATTGACCTTCATAGAAATGTTGAGGAGAGTAAACCCTGCGCTGCTGTGAGTCTCTGAGCTGAGGTTCGTTCAGCAGATGCAGCGCTGCTTCTAGCGCTCCGTTCAGCTCGTTCCTGCGGTCCTGACCCATCACACTTTCCACCGGGAGTCTCGCCAGTCCGCTTTCCAGCTGATAGACCCGGCGGAGGGTGAAGGTCTCAAACGGCAGCACCGCAAACTCATCGGGCAGCCGTTCTCCGGTGAAGATCTCGGCCCGTCGGAGCTGCTTCCGCAGGAACTCCTCCAGCTCTGACTGGTTCTGCTCCTCGAGCTCCACAGCGGATCTCTGCAGCTCTGCTTTCAGCTGTGAGATCAGTCTGGTGAGGTTCCTGCTGTGCTGGAGATAGTGCCACTCATGCTGCTGCAGTAAAGCCTCGAATGCATCTTCCCCTGCTGGACGTGTGGTTTGGCTTTGAGACCTGCAGGCCTGGCGATACAGGAGCAGAACGAAGCAGAAGAGCAGCGCAGCAATCGCACGCTTCCCCAGAAACCATCGCCTCTGCATGACTGACTGTAAAGACACACAGGTCTGGTCGAACAATGCAGATTTGTGCAACTAAAGACACTGTTTTAGTACAAACATGATGTGATTTGATCCATTGCTTTGGTTCAGAATTCAATCTTTTTTTTTGTTTTTTTGATGTTCCAGCAAGAGTGCATCTGAAACCACAAAAACAAACAGGCGTCGATACACTGCAAAAAAAGATTCTCCTACTTAGTATTTTTGTCTTAACATTCTTGAATCGAGATGCATTTACTTGACAAGTAAAATGATTTGATATTAAATCGTTTTCTAAAAAAAAAAAAAAAAAAAAAAAAAAAGAAAAAAAATTTTGGGGGTCCAACATTTATAAAGGTATGACCATACCTGAGCAGAAAAATAATCTTAATTCAAAGGCTAAACAAGATTATTTTTCTTGCCGCACTGGCAGATATTTTTGCTTGTTTTAAGCAAAAACTAAACATTTTTATATATTTTTTTTTTACAGAAAACAAGACATAATATCTTAAATAATTTTACTTAAATGCATCTTGATTCAAGAATGTTTAGATATTTATACTAGAACACAAGACACAAACACTAAGCAAGAAAATTATTTTTTGCACGTGGTTGTGCACGTTCAATGCACTAATAAACAAAAACTAAACCACTGAAAAATATAAAAGTCCACATAAATACAATCGGCAGCAGAGTTATTGTCATTAACTAAAACAAAATCATTTTTTATTTGTTACTCGAAACTAAGTAAATGTTAACTGAAATAAAATATTAAAAATTAAATTTATTTCAGCTCGTTGCCAAGGCAACACTTAGTTTAAGCTGAAGTAATAAATAACTAAACCTAAATAAACTAAGACTAAAAATGAATACAAATCAATAATAAAAATAATGACAAAAACAACACATTTGTTAATTTGTTAATAGTATGTCTCTTAAATAACACTGATCTGTAACAATAACCATTTACTGAAATCAATTTTGTGTTAAAACAGACACATATGAGCATTTGCACTATTCACTGTTGCCCTGTTTAATACTGTAAAGCTGCTTTGACACAATCTGCATTGTAAAAAAATCTATATAAATAATGGTGAAGATGTGCAGGTTATACGAGTTATTTTCAGCAGATTACACCATATTTGCTAAATGAAATCCAATATAGATTTCAAAAATAGTGTCTGCTTTGCTGGAGACAGTCACCATTTCTGACTAAATATATGATGCATTTTGTAGCATCTTTCGGCAAGCGTTTAAAAGGTGAATTAGTCTTGTATTCTCTCTTGAACACCACAAACACATTCATGTCTTCATCTGATTCTCAGCCCGTTTTCACATGCATGACATTATTTGATGACAATAAATGGAAAATTTCAACTTATTTTTCTCCCTTCTTCTCCTTTGCAGATTTGAAGTTCTTGATACATTTTTAATGCTTTTTGTCATTTGACTGCTTTCATTATTTTGATATTACAGCTAATACAATCTGAAAAATCTTATTTTGTGAAAAACTGTACAGGTAAAGTTTTCATTCATATTTTTGAACTCAGCATCATCAAATAAGGTAATATTAGGCTTTTTTTTTTTACAAATAAGCAGAATATTTTCCCAAGATGTAGGGCTGTAATGTTTGTCATATTATTTTGCACATTTTTCATGTATCAAATAAACTGATTTGAAACATTTCAGATCATTATTTCCTGTTTTCACTTTTTTTTTTTTCACCTCCAGTTGGACAAAAAAACTCTTATTTGAGATATAATTGCTGTAAAAACGTATTGAAATATGATTGTAAAAACACTATTTTATGACGTTATATTCAATAATTAGCTACATAGTGCATTCCTGTTTTAAATTATTTGAACAGCATTTATTAAATCAAGCACGTCTACTTACTGTTGTTGATCAGTCACACAGGTAATGTTCAGATTCAAGCTGCATTGAAATGTTTACCCTGTCCAGCATGTTTGCATATTACCGGCAGGATCCTGAAGGGGCCCTCTGTGTGCAGCGGCTCCGTCGTGAGGCATCATGGGTAATGCAGAGAGCCGCTCAGTGAGCGTTCTGTTAGGCTCCATGCGACTCCTCCCATCAAAACTATGAAAGACAGGCTGTTCTACAGGTGCTAGAGTTCAGGGCCCATATTCACAAAACATCTTAATGCTGAAAGTAGCTCATAACTCGCTGATTTAGGAGAAAATCTTTAAAATAATGTGCATCAGTCCTAAATTTCGGACTCCTAAATGTTTGCGCTAAGAGTATTTCACAAAGTGTTTTAGCTCTAAAACTAGCTCCTAAATCTGTGAAAGGTTAGGAGCAGTGAAGAGAGTCCTAAACCACAAACTCTCCTAAAATAGCTGTTTCCGGCAATCTAACATTTTAGAAACATTTGATAATGAGCTTTAATAAAGGTATCAGCTTTGGTTTTGGAGGTTATCCCGACTCTAAATTATATCCTTGTTTTCATTAACCAGCTGGGCAAGAAGTAACAGCTGTTTGGTTTTCTTTTACGTTTGCATGTCTTACTATCAGCCATGATTATTCTGCTCTGTTAATTAAAAGGCTGTTTAGATGCATATCCACTAATTATGAGAAGCACACATGCTGACAATTAGCTGAACGTGTACTTGTTTAATTAGTGACACTTAGCCTGCATTTTAAAATCTTTATTTGAATATGGCGACATAATATCGTGCTCTACAATATTTCTATGAATGAATCTCTGACAGAGACTATCAGCCAATCACTGTGTGCATAGTTAATAAGCTTGATGACATCATGCATAGCAACGAGCTCAGCCCCGCCCCCTTTCTCTGAGCTTAAGACTTCTCTCTATTCCTTAGTGAAAGTTTGCAGCTTTGTGAATAGGTTTAAAGAGAAAACTCCTTTTTACTGCTATTTAGGAGAACTCTTAGTGGTAAGATAAAATGTTTTGTGAATACGGGCCCAGTTCTTCAAAATGAACTTATAGCCCCTTTATAATCATCACTAAAAAGCTGTCACTCATTTTAAATTGCGATCTCACAAAGTTCTGTTATTAGCCGACTGCACAATGAATCAATTTAATGTCTACACTTCATTAATAAGAGGAGAAAGCACACAGAACTCACTGAACAACACTGAACTCCGGTGTTTTGAGCAATGAGTGGATTATCACTTGAACGCCTCTGATTGGCTGCTGCATTCCAGAAATCAACAGGTATGTCTGTGATTGGCTACATTGCTCAACGCTTCATTGTAATTATGCTCTCCAGAGTGCAAACACACATACACACTGGACCGCTTGCTAAATCTGTTCCAGTATGCTATTTGTATGAGAAAACTGATCCTCGACCAGCAGTTATGGGCAGCTTTTCCAGAAACAGCAGGCTAATCCAAGCTTGCACCTGTAAATAGTTTTTATTTTAATCGTTCTTGTTGCTTTTGTGCAACAGATGGTCTGAATCAAAAGATTCACGAATTTGCGCCGAAGTCCTGATATGAATCAACTGATTCGCAAATGCGCTCCGAAGTCCCGATCTGAATCATTCTTGATACGCGCTCCGGAGTCCCAATCAGGATCGAAAGATTCGCGATTCAAAGTTGAATAAAAAGATTTGCGATATGCGCTCTAGAGTCCCGATCGGAATCGAAAGATTCGCGATTTGTACGCCGAAGTCCCGATATGAATCAAATGATTCGCGATATGCGCTCAAAAATCCCGATCTAAATCAAATGATTTACAAAATTGCTCCAAAGTCCCGCTCCGAATCAAAGTATTTGCAATTCATGCTCCAAAGTTCTCAATTGAATACAATTATTTGCGATATGCTCTTCAAAGTCCCGATCTGAATCAAATGATACGCAATATGCGCTCCGAAGTCCCATTCTGAATCATTCGAGTTACGCGATCCGGAGTACCGATCAGAATCAAAAGATTCACGATTCACGATTCGCACTCCGAAGTCCTGATCTGAATGAAACGATTCGCAATTCAAAGTTGAATAAAAAGATTCTTGAGATGCGCTCTAGAGTCCCGATCGGAATTGAATGATTCACGATTTACGCTCCGAAGTCCCGATCTGAATCAAACGATTTGCGAACTTGCTCCGAAGTCCTGATTTGAATCAAATGATTCGCAATACGTACTCTGAAGTCCCGCTCTGAATCAAAGGATTTGCGATTCACGCTCCAAAGTTCCGAATTGAATAAAATTATTTGCAATATGCTCTTCGAAGTCCCGATCTGAATCATTCATGATACGCGCTGCGGAGTCCCGATCAGAATCGAAAGATTTGTGATTCGCACTCCGAAGTCCCGATCTGAATCAAACGATTTGCATTACGCACTCGAAAGTCCCGATCTAAATCAAATGATTTGCGAACTTGCTCCGAAGTCCTGATTTGAATCAAATGATTCGCAATACGTGCTCTGAAGTCCCGCTCTGAATCAAAGTATTTGCGATTCACGCTCCAAAGTTCTGAATTGAATACAATTATTTGCAATATACTCTTCGAAATCCCGATCTGAATCAAATGATTTGCAATATGTGCTTCGAAGTCCCGATCTGAATCATTCGAGATACGCGCTCCGAAGTCCCGATCTGAATCAAATGATTCGCGATTCAAAGTTGAATAAAAAGATTTGCAAGATGCGCTCTAGAGTCCTGATCGGAATCGAAAGATTCCCAATTCACACTCTGAAGTCCCGCTCTGAATCAAAGGATTTGTGATTCACGCTCCAAAGTTCAGAATTAAATACAATTATTTGCGATATGCTCTTCAAAGTCCCGATCTGAATCAAATTATACGCAATATGCGCTCCGAAGTCCCGTTTTGAATCATTCGAGATATGCGATCCGGAGTACCAATCAGAATCAAAAGATTCGCAATTCACGATTCGCGCTCCGAAGTCCCGATCTGAATCAAACGATTCGCGATTCAAAGTTGAATAAAAAGATTTGCGAGATGCGCTCTAGAGTCCCGATCGGAATCGAAAGATTC